GGGAAAACATTATAAAAGGTGCTGTACTTTAACCCTAAAGCCCAAGCGGAGATGAGCCAGCATCAGGAGGCTGATGATGGCATCCCAGCTGCGGGTTTTAAAACTTAAAAAAAGGGAAACAAACAAATTGTTTGCACTTATTTTCAGCATTCCCCGGACTGACTGAGCCTGTTTTGGTAACAGCTCCTAACACTGTGTGAAGACCAGCGAGTGAAAAACCCTTCCAGACCTGAGTCCTGTGTGGAAATCAGAGCATCCATCTGTGGGTTTCGGGGGGAGGCCGCTGACTCGCTATATGTTGGGCAGGTGGTATTTATGCCTGACGTGTTTCTTGACGTCTGGGGCTGGTGAGATGTTGCTGTGTGGAAGCTGAGGCAGGTACTGAGCCTGTGGACAGAGAGGAGGAACAAAGACAGGGCAGATGAGACGGCTCCGTCCACAGCCCGCTGGTCCCGGGGTTGGGACGCCGCTTTACCCCTGCCTGCCGGCGCCGGGAGCCTCGCTCGTGCCGCCTCCCCGGGCGCTCGCCCTCGCGGCCCCAGCCGAGCCCGCCGTCCTCCTGGAAGTAGGGCAGCTCCAGCAGCTCCTCGCAGGACAGCCGGAGAGACGGGTCCATCACGAGGCACGACTAGGGGGCAAAAAAAGGAACCAGGAATAGGCTTGTACGCCGATATTTGCAAAAAAATTTGTATCCGGCATCAGAAAATGCCAATCCAGACTCACGATCCATTTAAAAAAAATGGTCTTATTAAATTAATAGACTATTTTCTATTCAGGTTGCTTGTGTGTTTTGCCTTTTTGATATAGTTTATTATATTATTTGCACTTTTTACTGTTCGCTGATGCCATTTCCGCTTGTTATTTATCATTTTGTTTGTGTTTCTCCCTGAATAAACAGGTCAGAGTCTCTTTACCAACCAGTGTGTCTTATTCAAACTCCCCTAATTCAGCTGGATAGTTGTTTACAGAGCAAATCCCAGTTCAACATGAGTCTGAAAACTAAGAAAGGAGGATAAATAACTTCGGATCGGAAGTGCAAAAAGCTGGATCAGGACATCCCTAACATATTAGAAAAAACCAGGACTATTAAAAAAAACCTAACAGTGACTCATATTGGAGTTTAGGAACAGCTGGGCCCCGTTTGGTTTCTGTCCTCACAAACTACAGAGACAACATTTGGTGGCTTTAGACTAAAATGCTTCAGGTTTGATTTCCAGAGAACAAATGGGTCACAAATGAAACACACCTTCATGACCTGCAGAGCATGAGGAGAAGCTGTGTGGAAGCGCTTTTCCAAGGGCTCCTGGACAGCAAAGCAGACGTTAGGAAAGGTGCTTCTTAACCCGGAGCCACAACCCTTTGTGTTTCCGGTCATACCGTGGTGTCGGGCTCAGGAATACTGACTCCACTGAAGAAGACGTTGGAGCGGAAAACCTGTTGGTGGTGAGGGATCAGGTCCCCTGAGGTCACAATAAAAAAGCAGAACATGAGTTCATTAACTCTTAAAGCTTTCAGCCATCCAAGACGTTGGGACTAGGCTGGTCCCAATCCGATATCTGGATCGGATCGGCCGGCAGGAGAAAATGCAGATCCAAACTCCCAATCCAGTTTTTTTTTAAAAGTCCGATCCCACACGAGCATTAGCATTAGCATCTCCTAACCCACAGGTCTGTGTCCTAACCATTAAGGGATGTCCCGATCCAGCTTTTTTTAAAAGTTCCGATCCGATACTGGCCTATCAGAGCATGTACTAAAGTTTAAAGTTATTTATCTACTTACTTAGTTGTCAGACTCATGTTGAACAGGGATTTACTCTGATAACAACTTAATGGTTAGGACACAGACCTGTGGATTAGCAGATGCTAATGCTAATGCTTGTGTGGGATCGGCCTTTTAAAAAAAATGGATCTGGAGTCTGGATCTGCATTTTCTCCTGCCGACCGATACGCAGTTTTTTTTGCAAATATCGGCGGCTGATCTGATCCAAATATCAGATCGGGACCAACCTAATACATATACTGATAGGCCGGGATCAGTATCGAATTGGGACATCCTTAGTTGGGACGTGTGACATCGCCCTCAGTGATGGGAAAATCTAAAACATGGAGGGTTTCGGGCCCCTCCATGTTTTGGCGTAGTCTTTACCCAGGCTTTTGCAGATCAGGTAGAGCTGATCGACGTCCGACTTCCCGGGCCAGAGCGGGTTCCCGTTGAGCAGCTCGGCGAAGACGCAGCCCAGCGCCCACACGTCGACGGCGGGGCCGTACTGAGTGTCCCCCACCAGCAGCTCGGGGGCCCGGTACCAGCGGGTGGCCACGTAGTCCGTGTAGTCGTCGTCGGGCCCCGCTGAGCGACAACGAGAAGACGAGGTGAGACCACTCATGTCCATGAACATTCACCAAAGACGGACACTAAAGAACACGAACACTGTCGAGGAGGGGATTACTGAGGCCTGCATGTGAATGTCTGGACACTAGGGCTGTCACGATACGATACTCAGGAAAATGTTCGATACTCGATACCATTTTCGATACCACAAGGATAAAAACAAAGACCCCAGAATTTAACTGAATTTGGACAGGTTAGTGTCTTTCGTTTAAAACTGACCTATTACTGATGTTATCAGGGCCGGTGGCCCACATTAATGATCCTAACCCTAACCCTAACCCTTACCCTAACCCTAACCCTAACCCTTACCCTAACCCTAAACCTAACCCTAACCCTGACCCTAACCTTAACCCCTCCAGCCTTCATAATTGTGAGAAATAAATATTTTTTTGGTTAAACTTGTTTGGACTTATTGCCATGTAGCAATTAGGATTTTCTTGCGTGGGATCTTCCTATTGGTGACCTAATCAAAATGGCCGACTTGGTTGTGGGGGAGTTGGATATCCATCCTTGGCTTCCTGCAGTCTGCAGCCAGATGGACTTGATTAATGTTGGGGTGTTGTTATTAGCCATTAGCCGCAGCTAGCAATTCAAGGCTAAAGTCACGTTAATGATCATAAACAACGTAAATAAATAAAAAAACATTTGAAAATGAGAATTGTATCCGGATACAACTTTTTAGTATCATACTTATGATAACCCTAATGGAAACCTGAGCCTGAAACCTGATGGGGGGGGGGGGATAAACAGAGACACTCTACACACAGACACACTAACTGGCTGAATGCAAAGCATTCATTCAAACAATGAGAGTGAGGAGACGCCCGGAGCTGAATAAGTCATTAGAGAGACACGGCGGCCCGGCGGGCTACTCACTGAGGATGCGGGCGAAGCCGAAGTCGCAGAGCTTGATGACGCCCGTTTTGGTGAGGAGGATGTTCTCGGGCTTCACGTCACGGTGGACGCACTGAGACACAAACAGAACAGTCCAGCGCTTTTTGACACTTCCAATCCGATACTAATCCCGGCCTATCAGAGTATGTATTAAAGTTTAAAGTTATTTATCTACTTACTTAGCTGTCAGACGAATGTTGAACAGGGATTTACTCTGATAACAACTTAATGCTTGTGTGGGATCGGACTTTAAAAAAAAACTGGATCTGGAGTCTGGATCTGCATTTTCTTGCAGTTTTTTGCGAATATCGGCGGCCGATCCGATCCAAATATTGGATCGGGACAAGCTAACTATTGTCCATAAATCTGCGAACAGTGTAAACTACATGCAAAGGCCTGAACCAGATCATTGAGGATTGGAACATTAACATGTTCCAGATGTTCCTGGGTTACGCATTGTTATGTAAAGTTGCATGTGGTCGTCTTATGTAACGCATGTGGTCGAGGATCCATCAGAGGATAGATTTGTGATGCGGCTGAGCTCTGCTGACTGAAACCCTGAATGGGGGCCTGAAGCCTGAAAAGAAACCTGAAAACCAATTTAAAAAAAAACCTCTGCTCACGATAAATGGCCGTTCATTGCTTGTCTTTCAGGGACTTTGTAACGTACGACTGTACAATTTCCACCCGGATTAAGCCTCTGCCTCAGGTTTTGTGGGGTTCCAGTGAATGCTAAATCCTGGAATTAAATTCCTGCTTTCTTTTGATGATCTTTTCTGAGATATTAAACCAAAGGAAAGTAACGATGGAGCAGCCTGCGCCATTTTGGAGGAACACCAATCATCACGAATGATCATCACCAATCAGAAGTGTGGGGTCACTCTGACTCCCTGGTAACAACATGCTTCCAGTCCCCTTTTATGCCGAATGGACAGAATCCAAAGGAGGGATTGTTAAAGTTAACTCATCGAAATGTTCCCGACTTGACGATTGAGAAAAGGCAAAGAAAGGTCTACTGACATTGTGTTTGTGGCAGAAGTTAACAGCGTTCAGGGTCTGCCACACGATGCTCTTCAGCTGGGCCTCGGGAACCCTGAAAGAAAGCAGAGACAGAGGAATCATAAGGCACCAGTCAGGCTTTGCTCATCCACTCTTCAGAGGCTTTTCTTTTCTTTTAAAGGAAGAGGTGCTTTCTGTAGCCTTTGGATCACCCCAGTAACCTCAGACACGTCTCAACCGGCATCTGCCCCTTTGTTTCAAACGGCAGCTAAAGTTTCTGCTGTGACGCCGGTAAGTAGGGGGAACGGTTCAGTTCTAGCTAAACCCACTGTTTAGCTAGCTAAAAACCAAGCTAAAACTAGGCTATATAAGCAGAGCTTCATTTTTTTTTAAAGCTTGAGATGCTGATATCCCTCTCTCACCCCTCTGCCAGCAGCCTTTGGAGACCTTTGAAATCTCCAGACAGCCGTCTTGGCTCCGTCTTTGTAACTCTGCCTGATCCTTTCTGCTGCCCTGCTCTTGTAAGCAATACTCCTTGATAAATAAATGTACACGTAATGAGTTTGATGGCAGACTGAATGCCGGACCGCAGACTTCTTAAGCTTTTAATCAGATACCTTCTGCACAATAACACAGAAATGAGATGTAAAATGCTCCATTAACAAAAGCAATGATAAGACTGTTGTGGAAATTCTGAAGCAAAAGTCTGAGTCCGTTTAGGAGAAAAAGAGATAGAAATTAAAAGGAAAACTTCATGAAGTGAGCGCAACCATCACGTGCCATGCAACGTATTAAGCAAAACAAAGTACAACAAAATCATTTTATACCAGTGTGAGTCTGAAATGAGATGTAAAGTCTGCCCTCCATTCTGCATCTGTATTAAACAATCCTCAAGAATTAGACAAAATATGAGGAGGACTTCTCTTAGACTTTGAAGGAGGAAAGGACCTTTAAAATAATCTTACCAGAAAGAATAAAATAGAAAAGAAAATGATCATACATATATTGATTTCCCCCACAGGACTGAACACTTAAACAGATCACATGGGACATGTGGGACAGACAACAATGCGTCTGAACCCCGTTTCCCAGGATTTACCCTCGAGGGTGTTTGTCCAGCTCGTTGAGGACCGTTTGCTCACAGAACTCGAACACCAAGTGGAGCCGTCTTTTCCTCCTGAAGACCTCCAGCAGGTTGACCAAGTTCACGTGTTTCAGCTGCTGTAAAGCCAACAGGAGAGTTTTAGGTGAGGCGATTAGTCAGTAAAATACAGGGGAGAGGATGCACAATCTGCCCGAACTAGAGCACCTCTAAAGGTCTAAAAGCTGTTTTTTTATGCTTTTATCTCAGTGTTCACCCCTGCTGTTTTGCACGGGCTCATAGCAGTGATAAGGGCTCATATCAGCTTCTGAAGAGCAGGACAAAGGAGGCGCTTTCGGACCAGGGCCAGCGTCCACCTGCACAGGCAGATGTGGCCACACCTGATCCCTCTGGGGTGACACTAAGACTTCTCACCTTCAGCATGCGTATTTCTCTCATGGCAATCTTCTTAATGACCGGGTCGTCTTCAGACTCCACAAACTTCTTGATGGCGACTATCTGGCCGGTGTCTCTGTGTCTGCACTTGAACACCACGCCGTAGGAGCCCTCCCCAATCTTGGACAGCTTTTCATATTTCTCCATTGGGCAGTTTTAAGCAGTAACCTGCAAGAAGGCAAATGTTTTCACACTCTGGCTTTGCACTAAATTAAAGACAAAAGTAGCTGTATTTCAGAAACAGAGGAGGCCAGAGATCATTTTACATTTTCATTAAATTCACAGACACCTTTATGAATGATAACTATCTTTAAATTAGGGTCTTTACATTTTCATTAAATATATCAGGCTTAAATTTAGCCAAATAACTCCATAAAAAGAAGAATTGCAGATTATGCATCGACAATAATTATAATAATATAAACAATAATGCAACAGTATCTGATAACGGTCCTGAATTTATTTTTTGGGATTGTTTCAAATGATTTGCATATGGTTAAGATTTGTTATATTAGGCAACAGAAACACCAGATTCAAACACTGTGGTTAAGCAGGAACTAATGCTGCCTTCCTAAAAATAAAGGTAAATAAGTTATCCATTTGTGTAAAATGTATTATATAATGTAAACCTGCAGTTTCCCAAACTTATAGACATGATTTAATCCTACATATTCCTAGTGTCCAGGGTTAAAAATAGCTCTCCATAAAACTACATTTCCTATTTAGTTGATAATTCATCCGGTGAAGTTTTGATTGTTATCATTATTATTTTGCTGTCAGGGTAAATTAGCATGCGGTGGGTGTGTTTCTTTGCTAAAAGGTAAACTTCCGACACTGTTAGCTCGCAGTAAACAGGACATGTTTGTACACAGCCGTAAATCATGCAGAGCTAACTACCGTTTTCATGATTACACAAGGCTGACAGGCACGTTTAAACTCACTCACGTCAAAAGTCTGCGAGCCTCTTCAACCCAACGGAGAGTCTGTGGAGTCCATTAAAAGTTCCCAAAGCTCGGGAGTGCTGGCATTTCTGCTGGCCCTCTGGTCTCTAATCGATTACTGTTTAAGCTAGGACGCCCCTTTGGCTCCGAGCGGTGCGTCACTACCATGGCAACGCAAACTAACTCCTCACTCTTGTTTCGCCAACTAAAACTAAACTAAAAGACTAAAAGATGGCCGTTTTTTTTTTTCAAACGACGCTTCCAGTCTCCATAAAGACGGAAACGTTTAACATACCTCCTCAAAAAGCGTAGTAAAAGCGAATAAACTAAAACCCGTAGCCTTCTTGCTGGACACCAATTCGCAAAGCGGACTACGTAAGTTCATACACGCTTGATGGGGCACGCGTTGTTACCATGGACACAGGTAGCCGAGCAACAAGAGAAGTTGCCGAGACTTCGAAGGTTAGCCTGTAGCCTAGCTTAATATTTGGATAGACTTGGGGCCATAATTTGTTTTAAGTGACTGTATAGAAACACAACTAATGTCAACTGTCAACTTATCCTGAAAGATATTTATAAATGACGCAGTTTAGCGTATTTGGTCAACTTGCCTTTATATAATGATATTTATGCATTAAGCAGATGTAGCCTATATGTGCATATACTAAATGACAATGTTTTGGTCTGAATGAATACATATATATGTATATACATATATATACTACATTTTTGTTAATTAGCACCTGTTCTGTGTGAAAAACATCTGGTTATACGTTTAAAGCCAACTTGAGATTCATACCTTTATTGCTCTTAAAAGGCTGGTAAATTTCTTATTGAGTTTTTTTGAAAAATGCTCCACTTTCGCACTTAATATTTAACTCATTAAGTTAATTTGCGATATCTTTCATTTGCAATAACACATTTTAACATGTGATAAGTGCTTTCTTATGGGGAAAAAATGAGAGATTGTCTCTGAAATTTTGTATGACCTTTAGTTTAATGCAAGCATTTATATTGTTTACATTCTGATGGTTACTGTCGTTAATTCAGTTTAATTCTAACATAAAAAGTTATGGATGCCAGCCATGATCATAAGTTTTCATCCAAATTAAGTAAATATTTTCAGCCACTAAAAACAAAACCAGAAAAAGGATTTTTACATGTCCCTCTGCCACATATATGGCAGACTTACTGATGTGGTAACGTGATTTATGGACAATCTGATCTCTATGTTGACTGTGAGACTGTGGTCCTCCTACAGAGCCTCCGCTGTTTGCCTCTGTAAATGATGGGAAAGCAGTCTGCGTTGCACTCCTGTGTTCAGACACACACAGGCACCTTGAGGTTTTGGCCCGGCTGCCGGTGGTGAAGGGTGTGAAATGCCCCACGGGAGACGGCTCAGACAGGTCGGTTGTAAAGAGTCGGTATGGCGTGTGGTGGCCTTGGTCTGAGATCCCTGCTCTTATGATGTGCAAATGTAGCTGTATTCTTATAATTGTTTTCTCGTTCCAGGTTTAATTTGGCTCTGTTTGAGTTTTGTCATGTAAACAACATTGGTGTTATTCACTGGACTGACTTTCGTGCATCTCGTGCATTGTGTAAGCACATTAAAATCATCTTATTTTACTGCTTTCATGTGATCTTTGGTGAATTGCTTTGACACTTTGGATTTAAAAGTGCCCGTTCAGTGATTGTCACACATCCCAGAATCAGTTTAGGGTTCTGTCTCAGTCCTAAAACAGGACCTTTCTCTAATTTGCTGAGTTCAGGCCCTTTGCTTCTTTTAGGGATCAGTGATTAGAGCTCAATTTCCCCAGATCCCAAAAGGAAAAAGGGAACAATTCCCACTCAAAACAATGGGCAAAATGGAGGAATTCAGACTTTTGCTTTATAACTGCAAACTTTGTGTGGGATGGATGTATTTAATAATCTTCCTGTTACTTTTCACCAGGAGAAAAACCCCTTTTGACCAGCAGATGACAGTGTGTGTCTGTTCCAGCAGGCACAGAAAAGCTGCCGCACCAGCCGCTGACACTTTATACCAACTTTCATCTAACAGTGATCAGAGACAGAGATTGTTTGAGACGTAAATGAAAACCTTTGTTTGAGATTTCGTCTTCAGGAATTTCAGGGGAATTTCGAGCTTCGACTTTCCCGGTGTTAAGTTCCAACGTCTATAAGTGAAAAGCTTGTTGTCTGAAACAACAGACAATTATTGGAAAGTTTAAAGGCTCTGACCCAGAATCGTGCCGCATCATTTCTTTACCCCTCTGTTGAATCATCCTTCAGACCGAGACACAATGATTGAAACCATCACCGGTTTGTTTTAGTCTGGCCCTCCTTTTGAAAATACACAATCCGACCTCTAAAAAGCACCCAGACCCAGAGCAGCCCTGCCCTGTTGGCTCTTCACCCCATGAAATTCAGCGTTTCTACTTTTAGATTTGCCCGTCTCGAAGCGGCTCCCTCTTTTTTGGCCTGGCACCTTCGCAGCCACCAGGTAAATGTGGCGGCCAGTTGGTGAGACTCTTCCAGAAACCATCGCGGGGCTTGTTGACACACCGGCCGTCACCGCGTAGCGTGAGAGAGCCGGTGCCTCTAAAGTCAGCTCAGCTTTTTCAGCTTTTTTCAGCCTCCGACTTCCTGACGTGCACAGAAGCTCTGCGAGGCAGCAGATGTTTCACACAGCGGCCGTTACCCTTATTTCCTGGGCGGAGAGATCTTTGCTCTATTAGACGACGAACAGGAACAAGGAAAAAACAAAAAAAGTAGAAGAGATCGGAGGGGGGGGGGAGAGACAGAAAAGGGAGTGCGAGTTATCTGAGCTCCGAGCGCCCACAAATCACTTTGTCACCAGCGGAGCCCTTTGACAGCGAGGAGGCAGAAAAAGGCAGAGTCAAACGGGGGTGTGCACAGACGGGGACTCGGAGGAGAAGGTGTGAGGGAGCTGTAGAGGGCATAAAGGAGGAGGCACCGATGGATGGATAGAGGGAAGACCAGATCCGGTTCTCAGGCAGAAGGACGCTGACCCCCTGGTTTCTGCCGTTTTGCTCCGTCTGGATGGTGCTGGCGTTCAGAGGTGTGTCACACTTCAAACTTCTGCTCGAGGACGTCCCAAAAGCCCCAATAGAGGAGCAGCTGGTGGGGTTTTAACTCGGGGAGGGTTCGGTTGTGTTTGAGAATGAAGGGGCTTGTGGAGAGGCGGCTGCTCGGGCGCTGAGTCGGGGGCTCTGAGAACCATTTCTGTCCTACTACACAGATCACATGCTGTGAAAAGAGGTAGTAACACAGAGGCGGGCGGCCGTATCTGTCACATGTTTTTCTGACATTTGTGACTGGTCCCCAAAGGCTGGGAAAGTCGTCTCTTTTATCGTCCCTTCACTCTGGAGGTTTGATTAGCTCGGAGCTGCTTTAAATCCCCCGAGAGTTGTCTGAGCTAAAAAAAAAAAAAAGAAAAAGGAAGTCAGAGGTCATCTGTTTGTTTCGCAAACTGAAAATAGAAAGAAAAAGCTATTTTGTGACTTTTTGAGAGGGTGAATTTGGGCTGAAGTCCTAAAGAGCAGGTCTGGTGTTTGAGAAGCAGACACCTCGGAACTGAAGTAAAGAAAACACTTATGTTTTTTTTGGATCGGGCTGTTCGCTATTCGCCTGGTTGCCCTCGGGGGACGTGTAATGAGACACCTCTCTGAGCCGACACGTGGAGGAGTATAAACTTGCTCCGGATAAGCCAGGGTTCGGTTTTAATACTGCAAGTGGAGGCTTGAAAACCTATCAATCACCCGTTGGTCTGTGGGTAGAGAGCCGGGGCTGTGGACTACCTGAGAGACATCGCTATGTTTTAGACGAGTCGGGGCTTTCGGGTCGCGGGGGGAACTGTGTGCGTTCACGCCCGGGGAGAGGCTTTCTTTGGCGTTTGACAGCTCCACGCCGGACTCCGCCTGGACGTCAGTGGGTGGCTGCCCTCTCCACATCTGTCCACCCTCTGGGATTCTCTCCACCTGCTCCTACTCGGAGAGTTAGGTGCTTTTCCGAGCGGCGGTTGTGAATTCCCTGGACTCTCCCTGGGTTTGTGTTGTTGTGTGTAAACACCTCGCATCGGTCACACCTCTCCTGGTACCGGCCAGAGGAGCCAGTGAAGGAAAAAGCAGCCATGAGAGTGGAGCTCCTTTTACTGGTGGCCATGTGCCTGGCGGGCGGCGTGGGCGGGATGTCCACCTGTAAGACGGTGAACCTGGAGATGGTCAGACTGAAGCGCATCGAGGCCATCCGGAGCCAGATCCTCAGCAAGCTGCGCCTGCCCAAGGCCCCCGAGCCCGAGGAGTCCGGGGACGAGGAGGACATCCCCACGGACCTGCTCTCCCTCTACAACAGCACCAAGGACATGCTGACCGAGCAGGAGACCGACGTCCAGACGCCCATTTCCACCGAGCAGGAGGAGGAGGAGTACTTCGCCAAGGTGCTGCACAAGTTCAACGCCACCAGTAAGTACCAGCTCTCCAGGGAATTAGAGCCTCTGAACTAGGATAGTCAAAAGTATTGATACTCAAAAAAGTATTGATACTAAAAGGTATCCGGATACTATACTAATTTTCAAAAGTATCTATACTAAAACGTATCAGGATACGATACTAATTTTCAAAAGTATCAATACCCCCCTCCATTTACATTGATTGGCCGACTCAGATTTTGTTTCTAAAACCTATGACTGACAACAAGTTGTTGATTGATTCCATTAAATACATTGATTGATTTATTTATTTACGTTGTTTATGATCATTAACGTGACGTTAGCCTCGAATTGCTAGCTGCGGCTAATGGCTAATAATGACACGCCAACATTAATCAAGTCCGTCTGGCTGCAGACTATAGGAGGCCAAGGATGGATATCCAACTCCGCCCACATCCAAGTCGGCCATTTTTATTAGGTCACCAATAGGAAGATCCCAGGCAAGAAAATCTTAATTGCTTCATGGCAATATAGACATTAATTTAAAAATAGGGAAATGAATCTTGCAAACACTGAATTAAACTCTATACATAATATTATGTTAAAATATTGGATGTTAAATAGGTTTGTACAATAAGTCCAAACTAGTTTAACCCAAAAATATTTATTTCTGACAATCATGAAGGCTGGAGGGTTAGGGTTAGGGTCAGGGTTAGGGTTAGGATTAGGGTCATTAATGTGGGCCACCAGTCACGATAACATGAGTAACAGGTCAGTTTGAAATGAAAGACACTAACCTGTCCAAATTCAGTTAGATTTTAGGGTCTTTGTTTTTATCCTTGTGGTATTGAAAAAGGTATTGAGTATCCAGTTGAAAATTTTAGTATCATGACAACTCTACTCTGAACACGTACTCGCTTTCCCAAATGAGGGCTGGGAACCATCCCAACACTGGCATTTATGTTCCCCAAGTTAATTACATTTTAAGATCAGAGCTCTCACACTCAAACAGTGAGATGTAGGTGAACTGATAGTTTCCCCTTTGAGTAGTGGTTGTTCTTGAGTATATTGCGAAAGAAAAAGTGAGTCAAAGCTCTTCTGGAGAACAAGAACGTCCAGAGCTGGCTCCCCGCGTTTTGGCATTAAAGAGTCTTCCTTTTTCTGAGTGGAGCAGCAAACTTAGAGGCTCCAGCTCCAGCTAATCAAAACTGGCCCCCGAGGGTTAAACTTGTCCATAAATTCCACCCGCACGTGTCCATCTTCTGATCTCCTCCCAACGTCTTCAGGCACCTCGGAGAGTTCAGAGATCACAGGAGTTACAAGTTAGCCCGAGCGGGATCCGCATCTGGAGCCCCGCTCGGCATTTTTACGGCTTTATTAGCCCTGTTTATTTGGCAGGCCTGCTCTGTTTGTACAGCCAAATGTTTTCTGGCCCGGACTTGCGCAGCGACTCCCAAATCATTAACCACAAACATATTTTTGCCGGTTCGGTTTCGGAGCGCCATTGTTCTCCTTTCTCTTATTCTTCTCACCTGTCATGCAGGCGCACACATGATCCCCCCCCCCCTTTTATTCGCCACATCAAAAGCAAAGGCGTGAGTAGATGGACCGTGCTCGGGAGTGTGCACGGCGAGGGGAGAACAAAGCCACTTTCAAAAGGAAAAGGGGCTTGATTTTGTTCTGCTCAAATGGGAGCCAAAGAACAGGATGGCACACAGAAAACAGGAGTTGACAGGAGATGTGAAATGCCCCCCTTTGCATTTTTTCTTTTTCTTTTTCCCCCCTCTTTATGCTTTGTCCCCGGGGCACCGGGGGTTTTCCTGTACAGTAATGTGAGCACCGGGTTCTCCCTCGTTTATCATGTCACTTGTTCTCTCCATCCAGTATCTCTCTCTCTTTATCCCTGAGCCTTTTCCATCCAATTCCCCTTTTTTTTTTAATATAGCGATTAACAGTATCTCTTTCTCCTTCCATCCCTCTGCGGGCTCTGTTTCCTGAGCTTATTATCAGTGTGTTTGCAGCCTGTTTGCGACAGGGTAGCTGGGCAGGAAGGAAGGCATGCTGATGGCCAGTGAGATGCTGAGTGACTCAGGTCCGGTATGAGCGGTGCCCGTGGGGAGCGTGTGTTTCCGACCTCCTCGGGAATGCCAGAGAACACCCGTCCACGCTCAGGGCTTCTTCCTAAAACAAAAGCTAGCGCTCCGAACACCCAAAAAGGAGAACGCCAAGTGTGTGAAGTGTGTTTGGTCGGACTCAAGCAGAGCTGTTTTGCAATGACGAATGTGAGTAATGTCTTTAGGAATCAAAAGCCTATAAGAATCAGAATGGAACAACCAGGTTTTTGTTTTCTGTGTCCAAAAGTAGACTAAACTAACGATTTTTCTTTTTTTTTTTAATTCATTAACAATTCTCTTCGTCATTTGAGTTTATTTTATTTTTATCGGACGACTCACAGTTTCCTGAAACCTCAGCGCAGCCCTACAGGGATGCATAGTTGTGTGCACAGCCCTTTAAAACTTAATAGTTTTAGCCTCCATTACGATAATTGTCTGGAGGATTAGGATACATTCCTTCAGCCAGTTAGCAGTCACATCCCTCCCCTGAAGACCACACAACTTCACCTAGCATTCGCTCGCTTTACAGACAGAAACGGGACACTTGGAAGGATTCTAGCTCATATTCACAACTAAACGAGTCTACATGTACATGTACG